ATATGAGTCGCTGCCAGACCCTCCGCGACCGCCTGCTTCGGTGCGGAGGAACGATCACTGAAGAAAGCTTCGTGACACTTGTCCTCGCCGGGCTCGGGCCAGAATGGAGAACCACACGATCACTTCTTCGAGCCCACGGAAGAATTTCGGAGATGCACCTCTGCGCCGAGCTTCACGCTGAACAACAGGAGATGGATCTGTTCGAGGAAAGACAACCAAGGAAGCAACAGCAGTTAGTCTTCTACACTCAAAGAAGAAATGACAACAACTACAACCGACGCAGCAAGCAAAATCAACGCGACAACCGAGGACTCACCATCGTACCGCCGTTCTGCCACAATTGCCAGACTTCCGGGCACTCCAAAGTCAACTGCAACCGCCCTCGCGTTTACCGTGCAGCAGACCCACAAGTCACTTCCACTCAAGCAAGTCCTCCAAGGCGCTCTTCAACATCTGCACAACAAACACCCAACATCATCAACTGCATGGTACACATCGACAACTGCGCACCCGGTTCACCACCCACTTACGCACCAGACGAAGAGGGATTCCCGCCGCCGCGCTCGCAAGGACTTCAGGTCAACCCGACATACGCTGCAGTCGCCAACGCCGAACCCACCGGGCGAAACACCTGGTTCTTGGACAGCTGCTGCGGTCAACACATGTGCTCCTCGGGACGCTTCGTGCAATAGGAGAAACGACTAAACCGCGACGTCGTCATCACAGTCGCCAACAACGAAAACCTGAAGACAAACAGACAAGGCGTGGTTCAGTTACAATCCATGGAAACAAACGTAATACTGCAGCTCAACAAAGTGCTCATTGTCGACAACCTGGGATACAATCTACTAAGCGTAAGCCAACTAATGGCCAAAGGGATTCACCTGGAGTGCGACTCTTACTCCAACGAGTTCCGGCTTTACCACGGGAAGGGCGGCCTCTTCATCGGTCGTGCCCTCCTGAAGTCCGGTGTCTTCGTGTTGGACTTCATCCCCGACCGCGGAACTGCCGACAGCGATGGCATCGTATCGTTCGCCGCCTGGACTCACCCGCCGGATCTTGATCCCGACTTCGACAGTGACGGCTTCTGGCACTCCAACACCATACCTGCAGCAGAGAGAACACGAGCATTAGCAGTTATCAGACAAGAAAGACAAGTACCCGCAAGTGTCCCAACAAAACCATCACCTGCAGTATCGGCAGCAGGACCCAGCCGAGTACCACCACCATCAACACGAGGACCGCCAACGGAAGCAGACCAACTTATGCCCGCCACACGAGAAGCTTGTCGAAGTCCCTCCTCAGTCGTCGCGTTCTTCTCCAACGCCGACATCTACCACCGCTCGCCCGGTCACCGTGCTCCCGACGACATCTGGCACCAACGCCTCGGACACCCTGCAAACAGCACAATACTTCAAACAATCCAAGCAGAGGTGTTAGAACGCAACGCCCTTCTGACGACGAGCGGTCAAGAACTTCGACGACCACGCGCACGGTGCTTCACATGCCCCGAAGCAGATCTTCCTCATCAACCTTTTCCATCCCATCACAACCCAAGCGCACCTACTTACGCTCCGATGGAAAAAGTCTACAGCGATATTTTAAACATGCCTCGAGACGACGCCGAAGCCGACTTTAACTACGTCATCACTTTCATCGACGCCGCAACCAGATATGTCTGGCACTTCAATCTCAAAACGCGCGACCAAGCCTTCGAAGCCTTCACAACATGGCTCCCCATCGCCGAACGAGAATCAGGACTCAAACTCAAGAGCTTCCAGTCAGACGGTGCACTGGAATACCAGTCACAACGCTTCAGGACCTATCTGGCGGAAAGGGGAATCAGACGCCTGGTGTCCCTGCCCTATGCTCACCAACAGCAGGGGGTAGCAGAACGCATGAATCGGACCTTGCAGACGACGATGCGAAAACTGCTTCAGGGGATGCGACTGCCAACCACACTGTGGCCAGACGCGATGACACATGCTGTTCACCTGCACAACCTGCTGTCCTCGTCATCACTTCCCAACAACGCATCACCGCACGTGTTGTGGACAAGAAAAAGGGGCAGCACAAAATTACTCAGAGTCTTTGGCTGCATGGTACAGTACAGACCCCACACAGCCCGAGCAGGACGCTTCACACAACGAGCTCGGTGGGGACTCCACCTCGGCATCGCGAAACATTTTCACGCGTCGAAAATTCTCGACATACAAGACAAAAACACGGTGGCATCACGAGACGTTATCTTCTACGAACGACTGACTCTGCAGCATTACCTGGACAACCTTGCCAACACACAAGACCCCACCGACGGCCTCTCGGGACTTCGTTCCTTCGCCGATCGTGCTGCCGAAGCTGACGCAGCACAAGAAGACGTACCTGGAGCCTCGGAAGCTGCCGGGCCACTCCCATTCTGTTCCGTACCTGTTCCACTCGATGAAGATAATCCCCTCGATAGCAACAACTTCGACACCTTTTACCACTTCGCCGACCAAGGTTACGCTACACCTCACCCCGTCGACACAAATATTTCGGAACGCATCGGCCCCAATTTCTTACCTGACCCCGAAGACGGTGACGAAGCAGCTTATTCCGGGAATGACAATTCCCCTCGACACACACCCACGGGACTCCAGATTCTAGGCCTCTGGGTCTCCGTCCAGCATCCGCCGCCGCCTTCTACGCGTGAGCCTTCAATCTTGTCGCAGGCTCTGGGGGGGGAACATAAGGCAAAATGGAAAGAAGCGATGGAAAAGGAGTTAAAAGCTCTGCAAGACCGAGAAACATGGAAACTGGTACCTGCAACGAGCATCAACGGGAAGAACGTTCTCTCGGGGAAATGGGTGTACCGCATCAAGACCAACTCAGACGGCTCCATCGAACGATTCAAAGCTCGATGGGTCGTACGAGGCTTCGATCAACGATACGGAACCGACTACACAGAAACCTTCGCTCCAGTCTCCCGTCACACCTCATTACGCATCCTACTCGCCGTCGCGGCCACAAAAACACTACCACTACGCCAAATCGATGTCGCGAATACGTTCCTATACGCAGCTGTGGACGCTGAGATCTTCGTCGAACAACCCCACGGATTCATCGACGACCCCACGAAAATATGCCGACTGACAAAATCCCTATACGGGATCAAGCAAGCCCCGCGGCTCTGGCAGCAGCATCTTCACAGCCGTCTCGTAAAAATCGGCTTCCTACAGCTGCCGCATGACCAAGGGATGTACCGACTGCAGAAGGGAAGAGAGTATGTTCTGCTCATCGTCTACGTCGACGACCTGCTCTACATCGGCTCCACTACCGACATCGCCACCTGGTTCGAAGGGGAGCTGAAAGAAGATTTAACTCTCACGGTGTCCGACGAAGTTACGCAGTACCTAGGACTGAACGTCGTCGAAGACGACACGGCGTTCTACCTACACGCTGGAAAGTACTCAAGCACCGTCGCGAAGAAATTCGGTCTAACACCGACTGCGGTCCCAACTCCCTACCGCTACGGGAACAACAGCAGCGCCTCTACAAAACTCCCCGCGAAACAAATCCAGGAGTATCAACAGAAGCTCGGCTGCCTACTATTCGCATCAGTAACCTGCCGACCCGACCTGTCCTATAGTGCGAGTCAGTTGGCGACACATCTGAAGCAGCCGAAACAGGAAGATCTCGAGGAACTCAATCGAGCGCTACTCTACTTCGTCTCCACGCCGACGATCGGGCTCACCTACAGCAAGGCCACAACACCGTCCGTACGACTACTCGGATACGTCGACGCCGACCACGCGGGAGACAGCGAAAATCGACGGTCTAGGACGGGCTACATCTACCGACTAGAACCTATCGGAACTATCTCCTGGCAGTCGAGCAAACAGGAGTTAATCGCACTATCCTCGGCCGAAGCAGAGTATATCGCCCTTTGTACTACGACCAAGGAAGGACTCTATCTACGAGAGTTACTCGAGGAAGCGAAGATTGCGACCCTGCCCGCCTTCTCACTCCTCTGCGACAACCAATCTGCGATCAAAATCGCAAACAAGGACGGCTTCGCCAACCGAACCAAGCACATCGCCCTGCGGTACTTCTTCGTCAAGGATGAAATCGCGAAGGGGAGACTTCAACTCAGTTACTGCCCGACGACAGAAATGGCCGCAGACTACCTGACGAAGAAATTGGCGAAAGCAAAATTCGACTACTGCATGCTCCTGACCGGGCAAACAAACGTCACTGGACCCGAACATGACAGCACTCCAGAAACGAAGGGGAGTGTTGGAAATATCTCAAAGAACTTAAGCGTTTCTGAAGTGTAACACTACACTCGAGGAAGACTACAGGGGAGCACCCGAGTCAACGGAGGTTACACGAGGGGGCGGACAAAGAATGCGAAAAGACCCGAAAGGTTGCAACTGGAGGTTGCGACTGACCGTTACAGCATCACGGATGGTAACCGAAGCGGCAATCGAGTCGGTATGCGACTCGATAAACCGTTCCTGTAACTGTACTCTGCAACTGCTTTCTTATCTTCTATATATTGCTGTATGCTTGTTTCTTTAATCAATCACTTGTTCTCACATACTAGTACAAGGGTTCAACTGCATCAACTTCCGCTGCACTACTCCAAGTCTCAAGTTTCTACAGCTGGGACTTAGTCTCTGCAAAAGATCCTAAGGGCTTTTCTCAGCCCAACAACTTTTATTTGCCATCAGGGATGTCGTTCAAAATTGAGTGTACAAGATATACATATTATACTATTGTATATTACACCAAATAAAATCATACTGTGATAATAAACGCTAGGAGGTTAGACACTAGCTTCATTTATTAGGAGTTCGAATTCTTTAATTTTAACCACTCGGACAAAAATTCCGTCCGTCCTACCGATTGCAATAGGTTGCCACCACTCGGACAAAAATTCCGTCCGTCCTACCGATTGCAATAGGTTGCTCTGCAACCCTAAAATATGCTGGGGTTGAGAGGTGCGCGAAATGATAAAAATGATACTACACGTCGTCACTTGATAATGGGCTGGGTGTACAATATACAAGGGGATGTTGGTGCAACGTCACTTGATTTTTCTTGTGCACTCGTCTCCTCGGAAGTCTAAGCACTTTGCCATCCATAGGTGAAAGCTACTGCCTCCTGTACCATGCATGGTCCGTGTCCAAAACTACTATAGCAGGAAACAAGCCAAGCTGTACAGAGAACCTCATGGCGCGTATCGCATGGCATGATGGCATGGCATGATGGCATGGCATCATCCACAGTTGAAGGCGCACTCATCCTCCTCCTCGTACTCCTCATCCACCACGTCCTCATCATCCTCCTCCAGCTCTTTGACCACGTCCAGCAGTGTGCGGCGGTAGTTCATCATGAGGTGGTCCTGGATCATGGACCCGGTCAGCTTGATGCTCGAGTACACGTGCCGCCGCGTCTCAAAGATCCCCGCCTTCCATGCACCCCGCTTCCTCCCCCCCCCCTGCCCTACCTTGCGCGACCCTCCCCCAGCGCCACCACTCCTCCCTCCACCAGCCCCACCGCTGCCAGCACCACCACTTCCACCTTCTTGCGCCGAGTCCAAGCCCTTGTGCCCGTCCTCCCCCTCTCCCCGTGTCCCATCCCCCTCCCTGCTGTCGCACTGCTCCTCCCCCCCGCGCTCCTCCCCTGGCCCCACACCGCCGTCCCTCTGCTCCTCGTGCTCCTCGTTCCTGAGCAGGTGCACCATGCGCCCGCACGGGAACCAGCGCCGGGGGTCCGTGCGCACGACCTCAGGCACCTCACTGCTGTTCTCCACCACACCTGCCACCAGCGGCTCAAGAATGTCCCCCTCCTCGCCCGCGCCCGCCACCTGGCTGGCCACCTCCTCCTCCTCCCTCAGGATGTCCTGCACCACTGCGGCCGGCACCACTGCCTCCTCCTCGCTCTTGGACGCGCGCGTGCTGGCGTCCAGCCGCTCCTGCAGCTGCTGCTCCATCACTGCCCACGACAGCCCCCCGCCGTGGCCCCGCCACTGCTCCCCTGAGAAACCCGTGTCTCCCTCCTCGGGCCCCACTGCCCCCCCGTAGCTGTCGTCGCTGTCCGCGCGGTCGGCGTCCCCCCCCTCGTCCATGGCCTTGAGCAGCGCTGCCAGCCCCTCCACGTCGTCGCTGCACTGCCGCCGCAGCTCCTCCTCCCGCTCCTGCTCCCTCTCCCTCCTCATGCTCTGCTCCCTCTCGCCGGCCCCCTCTAGATCTGCCTCGTCCCCCACCTCCTCCTCCTCCTCCCCCTCGTCCACATCCTCATCACTCTCCTCCTCTTCGATCTCCTCCTCGTCCTCATCCTCTTCATCCTCCTCTTGCTCCTCGTCCTCGACCTCCTCCCCTACATCTTCTACCTTCACCCACTCCTCCGTACCCCCCAGCAAGCTAGCCTCTTCCGAATCCCCACCACCCTTCCCCACACCCTCCCCGCCTCTCCCAGCAGCACTGCCCCCCTCTCCACCCCTCCCCACTCCTCTCTCCACCATTCTCTGCGGCTCTGCTGCCACCAGCACCACCTCACCATCCTTCCCTCCCTGCCCTCCCACCTCTCCCCCCCCATCACCACCAAACCTCACATCCAAAGAATGTGTGTGTGTGTGTGCATGTGCGTGCGCCAACCTGCCCTCTGACCCGTGCCGTGACTCCACGCCCCTCTTGGCGTCCCCCACCACGATCGCCTCGGCCACGTCCTGCCGCCACCACCGCGGGCCCTCCAAAGGACTGACTGTGTGTGCCGCTGTTGCACCTGCCAGGCCCCCCGGGAGGATGGATGGGCGCGTGCGGACGCGGCTGCAGAAGCCAGGCGGCAGCAGGGAGGTGCGCAGAGTCCAGGAGGGTCGCGGAGGGGTGGAGGAGGCGAGGGTAGGGCGCAGAGCAGCAGGGAGGCAGCAGACACGGCCGACAGTTGCCACTGTTGCTGCAGGGGCTGCAGCAAGGAAGTGCAAGGGCGGAGGGCAGGAGGCGGGGGAGCAGGAGGAGGAGCGGTGGGGGAGAGGTGCTGAGGCAGGGGGGAAGAGCGGCGAGCGTAGCACCCCGGCACATGCGAGCCTTCCCATGCATGGCGCCTGCAGCAAGGTAGCCGACCAGCACGCTGCCCTGGACGCCCCCTCCCCTCGCCCCATGTGCCTCTGCCCACACATGGTGCATGCCCACGCGGATGTAAGAAATGGGGTGAGAGAGCATGAGGAGGAAGAGGAGGAGGAGGAGGTTGAGGATAAGAGCGGTGAGGAGAACGCGAGGGAGCAGGCGGAGGGGCGGCGGCAGAGGCAGGCGGGGCAGAGGGCGAGGTGGCGGCGGATGAGGGCGGCGGAGCGCAGCGCGGAGCGCAGCAGCTTCACCTTGCGCAACTGCTCCCGCAACTCACTCGCCCACGCTGACCGCCGCACCTGGTGGGGGGACACCAGGGGGGGAAGGTAAAAAGTGGGGGAGGGGGGGGGTGGGGTTTGGAGGGATGCACACACATGTGCAGTGTGCGTGTGTGAAGCGACTGATGGGTGGGGTTTGGGAGGAGCGAGTGAGAGGAACAGCGGGCAAGGAGGCTGTTGATGGCAGAAAAGGGAAGGCAGGGAGCAAGAGGGAGTGGAACGGCGTGGAGGGGAGAGAGGCAGGAGGAGTCGGAGAGGCAAGAACGATGAAGTGCACAGCACACCGCACGTGGTACGACCCGCCTGGTGCATGTGTCGCCAGGCGCGCACCTCTTGGCGGAGGTCGTCAAGCGAGCTGGAGGAGAGCGTGGGGATGAAGTCGGTGCCGTTGACGATTGACGTCACACAGCACTCGCCCGACTGCGCCAGGTCCCACGTCATCGCCGCCGCTGCACCCACGCACGCACAGGGCAAGCACGCAGGGAGGAACGGGTTGAGTGGCGGGGTGGGGATTAGGGCGGATATGAGCTGAGTGAAAGGAAGGGAGGGGTGAATGGCGCATGTGGTGATATGTGGGTGTGTGAAGGGAACGGAAGATAGTTGCCAGGGCATATCCCATGGGAAGAGGGTGGCATGGTGGGCTCACCAGGTCCAAACGCAACGCAGGTGGTGGAGGCGAGCCCCTCCTTCTCCCTCAGAATGAAGGTCAGCAACGACGCCGTGGCGCCGCCCAGGGAATGCCCGATCAGCTGCCACGGACGGGGGAGAGGGGGAGGCGGATGCCATGGCGAGGCTAACACAAGGACAGGCACGGGGGAGAGGCATGCGGTGCCATGACAGAGCGACAGGACGAGGGGGTGATGAGGAGTGATGGCAGGCTAGGGTGAGCATCTGATGCGCATCTGAAGAGCATCTGATGAGCACAAGGAATATCAGCTGATGTGAGCATCAATCATGCACATGGAAGGCAACAACAGCTCACATGCAACCCACCTTGACATGCAACCCACCTTGACATGGAACCCACCTTGACACGCAACCCACCTTGACATGCAACCCACCTTGACATGAAACCCACCTTGACATGCAACCCACCTTGACATGCAACCCACCTTGACATGCAATGCAACCCACCTTGACATGCAACCCACCTTGACATGCAACCCACCTTGACACGCAACCCACCTTGACATGGAACCCACCTTGACATAGAACCAACCTTGACATGCAACCCACCTTGACATGCAACCCGCTTTGACATGCAACCCACCTTGACATGCAACCCACCATGACATGCAACCCACCTTGACATGCAACCCACCTTGACATGCAACCCACCTTGACATGCATACCACTTTGACATGGAACCCGCCTTGGCATGCAACCCACCTTGACATGCAAACCACCCTGACACGCAACCCACCTTGACATGCAACCCACCTTGACACGCAACCCACCTTGACATGGAACCCCGGGTGTCGGGCGAGCGCCTGTCTGAGCGTGGGCAGGCAGCGCGCAGCAATCGCCCGGGCGGCCGCCACCATGCCGCAGTGCGCGTACCCCAGCACTATGTGCCGCACACCTCCGTCCGTCATGATGGTGTGGTGGAAGGGCACGACGGCGCCCGTGGCGCAGGTGAGCTTGTCCTTGGTGGAGTGCGTCCCGCGCACCACCAGCAGCACCGTGCGCCGCCGCTGCTCCACTATCAGCGCGAATGCCGGCTTCAATAGCTGGGGAGAGGAGAGGGGGGGGGGCGGGAGAGAGGGCAAGAGAGGGAAGGGGCAGGACAAGGATGATTAGACTGGCAGAAAATCATGGGAGACGACTGAAGATGGAATGGCAATACGTGAGGCGGCAAGAGGTAGAGCAGAAGACTTGACTCTGACACAACCGCTGAAATCACGGCAGCCATCCCCACCATCCTGGCTCCATCCCCATCCCCACCCCCATCCCTATCCCCATCCCTATCCCCACCGCCACCTCCCCCATCCCCATCCCCTCCCCCATCCAGCGTTGGCAGCTTATTAAGGCAGCGGTCGAGAGCAGGGAGTTGGGCGGTGGAAAGTGGGGCGTGGAGAGTGGGCAGCAGGGAGCGGGCAGTGCGAGAGCAGGGAGGGAGCGTGGATCTGACCCCGGCTTTGGGTTCGTAGATGAGGACGTCGGAGGGTGAGAGGCGCGAGTCTTCGAGGAAGAGGCGGTAGGGCTTGCGCGAGAAGGAGTAGCACAGGCTCACGTACTCCGCCACCATCTCCAGCTCGCGCGCGCGCCACGCGCCCCGCAGCCGCGCCACCGCCTCGCGTGCGTACATGCGCGACACGTCCGCGCGCTGGGAGGGGGGAGCAGGGAAGGCCGTGGGGGCAGCGGGGGAGAGGGGGTGGGAGGGCGGTTCTGAGGGGAGATACTTGGGGGAGGTGAAGCGGGCTAAGTGAGGGGACAATAGAAGAGACGTGCTTTGGCTATGGCTGTGGGACGATGGGAAGCATGGCGTCTCATGCGTTCATCTGCGGGCAGAGACAGCACACGGAGCGCCGATAACGCTCGTCCTCCCTCTTTCCTTTCCCTAACCTCCCCCATCTTCCCTTGCCGTGTCCGCCGCCTCCTCATCCGCAACTGCCTCCCCTCACCGCTCTCTGACCCCGCCAGCAGCACCCTTCACTCCATATCTCTCTTCTCGCCTCGCACCTTGCGGCGGCGCAGCAGGAACGCGACGCCGAAGAGAAGGTCGGTGAGTGGCCACTTGCCCAGCGTCTCCACGAACAGGAACCGCATGGCCGCCGCCAGCATCGCCGCCGTCTCCGCCAGAGTCGCCGGCGGCCGGTCCGGCCCGCGCAGCCCCACCGACCGCCGCCGCTTCCGCCATCCCTCCCGGCGGCCTCCGCTTCCGCCTCCGCTGCCGTGCGCGCGGTCGCTGTCGGAACCCCCCGACTCCGAGCCGTCCTTTCTGCGGCGGAAGCGCGGGAAGAGCGGCGACTCGGCGAAGCCCGTGTAGTACACGAAGACCGCCGCGCCGGCCGCCGCTGCGACGGCGCCGACGACCGCCATGAGGGAATTCGCCGACGCGCGAGCTTATAACGAAGGTTGCTACACTACGGTGTTCGGTGGAGGAAAACAAGTGGGTATCTCATGGCTGGCCGAGTGCAACGCGATGCAAATTCAAGAAAATTCCTCCGGACTTGGTGCAACAGTAGAGAGTGGATGCAGTATTACGATTTGTGGCCGCTGCGACCACGGGAATGAAGTATTGCGATAGCTGAAGGTGTCAAATTCGTGACTTACCATGGGTGAGATAGCTAGAAAGTGAGCAACCCGTAATAGCGGCTGGGGTTGGGCGAGGAAATCGAGGTGCGTGGTGAGGTTCAGTGGTTGCGGACACACAGCAGCGGGCCAATGAAGGGTGACCAGCAAGACTTGCAGCAGCCGGTAGGCAGGTGGCGTCGAAGAGTTATGAATAATAACTGAGTGTTATGATCAAGGAAGTGTCAATGAATAATAACGTGAGAATACAAGGTCGTTATTGCAATGAAGGCACGAGGTTATAAGGGGTTGGCGTACTAGGGCGATAACCTCGGAACGTGGGTAGCTTCGGCAATGTGGCGACAGTGCTGGACGCAACTCGGGAAAGGGTTGGGCCGACAAATGAGGCCGAACGTGACGAGTAGATGAGTTCGGGTGTGTTTTGGTAAAATCATACTTAAGCATTTCTGTAAGTAGTCTCGATAGATATTGTCGAGTTACACTGTAGTTAGCATCCGTAGAATGACGCCAGCAAATAGCGCTCGTCTGGATGATTACGTCAGCAAGCCGTTTCAGTCACCCGAACAGTCGCGCTTTTTTCAGTAGCGCTCTTTTCGTACTTAATCGCTACTGATATGGTATCATGAGTAGGTAGGTCCCACCGCCCGCCCACGCTTCCGCGGCTCCGCCCTAGGTCCTAGCCGCCCGTTACCCCCCCCCCTCCCCCCCCCCCCTAGCCGGGCCGCCCCCCTAGCCCCCGTTCCTGCCGGCCCCTTGCGCCCGCTCCAGCCGGCCCCTCACGCCCGTTCCAACCGGCCCCCTAGCGCTTGTTCCAGCCGGCCCCTTGCGCCCGTTCCAGCCGGCCGTTGCGCCCGTTCCGTGCCAGCCCCCTAGCGCCCGTTCCAGCCGGCCCCTCGCGCCCGCTCCAGCCGGCCCCTCGCGCCCGTCCCTGATCGGCCTCGTGCCAGCCCCCCCTCGTCGGCCCCGCGCCTGTTCCTGACCGGTCCCGCGCCCGTTCCTCGTCAGCCGGCCCACCGCCGGCCGCACTGCACCGCACCGCACAGCGCCGCACTGCACCGCACCGCACTGCACCGCACTGCGCCACACTGCACCGCTCTTCACCGCTCTGCACCGCACTGCACCGCACAACACCGCTCTACGCCGCATTGCACCGCACTGCACAGCACTGCTCCGATGTTGCATCGCTCCTGATGGCAGACTCCGTGCTCCGCTTCGACGCAGAGGGTCAGCCGCTTGAGTTTGACACCTGGCTGGTCGACCTCCGCCGTCATCTCACTGGTCAGCAGCAGGACGGCCACTCCCTGGCTGTCCACCTTGACGGTACGCTTCCCTGCCCTGACCCCCCTGCTCCCCTGCCCGTTGACCCCTCGTCCGCTGATCGTGAGTCCGCTGCAGCTGCTGCCCTTGCCCGCTCAGTCTGGCTGTCGCGTGACGCCGTCGCGCAGCTTGCGATCAGTCATGCCCTCTCCCTGTCTGAGCGCCCCCGCTTTCGGTCAGTCACGACTGCGCAGGAATTCCTAGATGCCGTTGTTAAGCGCTATTCTATCCCACCCGCTGCCTCTGTAGGTCGCCTGATCCTACCGATGCTCTTCCCTGACCTTGCGTCTTTCCCTACTGTCGCTGACCTGCCCGCTCACCTGCGCATGATAGACGCGACCTGGCGCTCTGCCTGCACTGAGACCCAGCTTAGAGCCTTTCAGCCGCCCCTCTACTCTACCCTCTACCAGCTTGCCACCCGCCTCCCTGACCGTCTTCCTACTGCCCGCGACCGCATTCTTAGCATCCATCCCGGTGACCTCACCCTCACTGACTTTGTCGACACCCTGTCTCCCATAGAGACCCACCAGCGCTCTATCGTCCAGACCAGCGGTACTATGCCGGTCCCTATCTTCCAGGGTTGTGCCCCCGCTCAGTGCACCTTCTCCGACGGTTCTGCTGCTGTGGCTGAGACCGCAGCTGCAGCACAGTTCCGTCAGGGGAAGGGTCGCCGTCCCAAAGCTGGGCGCGGCGGTGGGGGTAGAGGTGCAGGTGGAGGTGGTGGTGGCGTCGGGTCGCCCGGTGGTAGCGCTGACGAGGGGACCATGACTAGTGTAGCCGAGCAGCCATCTCAGCAGCCGCCGGCGCCGCAGCCGGACCCGCACCAGCCGCAGCAGCAGCCCCAGCACCAGCCGCAGCAGCCGCAGCAGCAGAGGCGGGCATGTGGTGTCCCGCCCGGGTGGCCTGGCGCTGGTGGTGGCGTTGGCCATGGTGGTCGTGCGCATGGTGTGCAGTCGGGTGGCGGCTCGGGTGACGGGCGCTGTCAGTACCAGCTCCAGACCGGTCCTCGTCGTGGCTTTGTGTGCGGTAAGATTGGTCACTCCTCCGTCCGCTGTTTCCGTCGCCTGGACGACCTGTTTCGTCAGCGCTTCGGCCCGGCGCCCGATCTCCCCGACTGGTACAGCTTGCTTCGCCGTAGTGTTCCGATTTTTTATATGGACATGGATGAGCTTGATTCTGCCCTGCATGTGCTGTATGCTGATGACTCTAGTGTGACTGTTTCTTACTACCCCTTGCTGGCTAGTGTAGGTGTGTCTAGTCTTGCCTCCCCTGCTGCGTCAGGCGTAGGATGCCCCGCCTTGTTTAGCCTTGATTCTTCCCTCGCTGCTCCGACTCCAGCCGCCACTGCTGCGCTCTCCTTCACCCTGGACACTGGCGCTTCCCGATGTTTCTTCCGCGACTCCACTACGCTGACGCCACTTGCTGCTCCTGCTGCGGTTTCCCTTGCCGACCCCTCCTCCGGCCCGGTAGTCGCCCGCAGTTCCACCACCCTTCCCTGTCCGGCGGTTCCTTCGCGCTCTCTTATAGGCCTGCACATCCCCTCGTTCTCCAGGAGCCTAGTTGGTGTCGGCTGCCTCCAGGACCTTGGCGTCACCACTACGTTCCCTGGTCACGAGCGGTACGCTGTTTGTACCGAGGCCGCCACTAGTGCCCCCCTCACCACGTTCCCCCGGGACCCGGTGTCCGGATTGTTCACACTAGACACCGTGACCCCCCAGGTTGGGACGTCTCCTCAGGTGGCTACGTCTACCCAGGTTACTGCGGCCTGCTCCTGTCGGTCGCTCACTCACCCGACACTCCTGTGGCACCACCGTCTAGGTCACCCTGCAGTCCAGCGTTTGCGTCACATGTCACAGCACGGTCTTGTCCTAGGTCTCCCAAGGTCGTTTCCCGAGTTGCCCTCCTCCCTAGCACCACCGTGCACGCCCTGTATCGAGGGCCGGCTCTGCCGTGCCCCTCACTCCTCCTCATTCCCCCCCACCGCCGCACCTCTACAGACCCTGCACATGGACGTCTGGGGCCCCGCCCCCGTCCATGGACCGCGTCGAGAGCGCTACTTCCTTGTGCTTGTCGATGACTACACGTGCTACTCAACGGTATTTCCCTTGGAGCGGAAGGCCGATGTGCCTGACGCTCTCATCCCGTGGCTTGTCTCTGCGCATGTCCACCGCGGTCTCCCTATCCTGCGTCTCCACTCCGACCGTGGTGGCGAGTTTGCCTCCGGTGTCCTTGGTCGTTTCTGTCGTGCGGAGGGCATCACCCAGACGTTCACCATGCCGGACTCCCCGCAGCATAATGGGGTCGCTGAGCGACGCATCGGTTTGGTCATGGAGGTGGCTCGTACCTCCATGATCTATGCCGGTGCACCCCATTTTTTGTGGCCATTCGCTATTCGCTACGCAGCTCACCAGCTTAACCTGTGGCCGCACTCCCAGCAACCGCAGGTTTCGCCGACCCTCTTTTGGTCCGGGTCTCCTGGTGACGCGTCTGCGTTCCATGTCTGGGGCTGCCTTGTTCACGTCCGTGCCTCTAGCACGGACAAGCTCACTGCCCCACCATCCCCTATGTCTTCCATGGTATCCCCCTCGACTCGTCTGACTGGCACTTCTACCACCCCCCGTCTCACCGTTTCTTTCACTCCCGCGACGTCACCTTTGACGAGTCTGTCTCCTTCTACCGTCGCTTCCCCCACCGTGGTCCCCCGGTTACTCCCCCCCTGTTCCTGGTTCCCCCTTCCCCTGTGGCCCTTGCCCCTCCCCCTCCCCCTCCCCGTCGTGCCCCGTCTGGTGTGTCTCACGTCACCCCCCTCACGTCGGTTGTCCCGGTTGAGGAGTCTGCTGACTCTAGTGGCCCTGCGGTGCAGTCCTTGCCGCCTGCCCCTCCCCAGGTGTCTCCTCCTCTACCGCCTCCGCATCCTCCATCACTGCCGCCTCCGCAGCCGCCGTCGCCGTTGCTGTCGCACCCGCCGTCACCGCCGCCACAGCCGTCACCGCCGCTACCCCCGCAGACGTTGCCGCTGCCGTCGCAGCAGCAGTTCCTTGCCTCTCGGGGTGCTGGCGTTGGGGTGGGTACTCGTCCTTGGGTTCCTATCGTGGCTTGTTCCGGCGGGCCTGGGGGTGGTACCAGTGTTGGAGGGGTTTCGGGCTCTGGGGGTGTTCCTTCTGGGGGTGCTGGAGTGGAGTGTTCCGGAGGTAGCCGTGGAGCAGCTTGCGGTCCCGGTGTCGGTGTTGTACCGCCGCAGCAGCAGTCACCGCCGATGTCAGCCCTTCGTCTACTCGGCCTTCCGTCCCCTGACCACGCGTCTGTGCCTCTCCTGCCGTTCATTGCAGGAGAGTAGAGCATGGTGAGAGAGTGCCTTATGCTCTGCTTCTTTAGCCTTGTTGAGAAGTCTTTGCTCAGGAACTCTCCCCCACGGTCAGTGCGAATCGCCTTCACAAGCCAGTCTTGTTGCCGCTCCACCATCGGCAACCAATTGGTCTTCACCGTTTCAGCTACGTCACTCTTCTTGGGCAGCACATACACTGTCATGTGAGTGTAGACATCCACTATAGTGACAAAGTACTCAGCTCCAGTAGCTCCAAGCTTCAAGGGGCCCACCACATCCATCACCACCTCATCAAGTGATGCCTTCGCCGTTCTCTCCGAGCTATGGAACGGGTAGCGGGTGAATTTGGCTTGCATGCATGTTGGACAACCAAGCACCTCATTGG